ACTTTTATTTTCACATTATTTGGTGGCTAACATATACCTCCATAGGTTATCATTCATATTTCTGGTATACGTGTTTTTTGCTTCCCAACTGGATTGCAATTTCAAGGCTTACACCACTCTCTCTCTCTGTTTCAGTACCACACTTTGCATATGGGTGACAACGAATTCATAGCTATTAACTGATCTGAATAGAGATGGGGACAGAGCAAACTTTAAATATGTTTACTGAGATACAAATGACTTGCTGATTGAAGGGAGAACCAATGATTGTAACCATCAACCATTACCAACAATTTCCTTCAGCATTTATGAATGGACATCCAGGAACTTAATGCCACTTCTGTTCTTAAAAACCACCTATCTCTATGCTTTAGCCAGAAATGAACTGCATACTTCACAGATTCATTCAGAGTAGAAGTGTCAAAGTAAGCTTGCATCTTTTCCCAGAGTGCATATACTTATTTCACTAATACTCATCTAAAATGATAAAGCATCAGTTTCTAAGAAATTATATTCAAACAAGAGTCAACTGAATGGCTCACAAGGGGGGTGGACCGATTTTACACCTTTATAAAAGATTTTTCTCAGGGCTGAAATGTTTTTCCCAAGGTCAGTAACAGATGTCCTAGGTCTGTAATTTCAATCTGGGCATTGGAGGGGTTGGTTGGGAGTGGTCAGCTATCCCTTTTCAGAGTCTGATAAAAATTATGCACTTTCTTTACAAAAATTCCAAACACAAAACTATTTCATGAAGCTATGGAGCCCAGATTAGTAACACTCACTTTAAGGCTCTTTATTCCACAATATTTCCTGGAAATAGGACCTGAGTGTGCCTTATTGAGTGGTAGCAGTGGGTAGCAGCAGAAAATCACAAATTTGGGGGGAAAACCCAAAACCCTAACCCTAATTTTTTCCTCAGATGAATCTGATGGGCAGCCTGGTGAAGAGCTAATTTTATAGAGTAATTCTGCTGAAAGTGACCCATGCAAGAAAAATCTAAACCTACCCTCTCATGACACAGGAGGACACGGCAGCCCAACACTGCTCACCCCAGGTGTGACTGCAAGTTCTTGGGCAACTAGTACCAGACATCAGCTCTCTGACCTCTGGGTCAGAAGACTTTCACATCATGCTCTCACACACAATGTTCCAGAAACATTTGGTTTGGATTATTCAATGCTCTTATAGCATTACTAAAAGAAAATTGCCATTTTGAAGAGAGGTACTGGGACCAGTAAATGGTATATGATTTGAACTAAGAAAACTAACTAGAAATGATATTTTGTAACAACCTTATTTTCCCTTTTTTGCCTTGGCTCGGATCTCTGTCTACAGAATTGTTTTCACAGTTACGGGAATGACTTCAAGTTCATAAATTTTTTTCTTTAGCAAACCCAAGATAACTAAGAGTGCAAATATGGAAGCTGATTTAAAAAGCAGTACTTTTATTTGAGTATGAGAGATGAATTTTCTATAAATCATGTGGCAGGCAGTTAAGTTCCACAGTTAAAGATAGTTCTGTTATTTGCTCAGAGACAGTCACATATTTTTAGAGTATTTGTAAACTGCAAGTCATTTGTCTAGAATATTCTCTCTCCTCCTCTTGCCAGAGGTAAAAAAGAAAGAAAGAAAGAAAAAGTAACCCACTCCTCAAACCAAAACAATCCAGCTGATTCACAGAAAGAATAAACATGTTTTTCCTGAGGTTTCTGAGAAACTTATTTCCTCTTAACCTTTTATTCCATGAAAGAAAATATTAAATACATTAAAAGTACTTCACAAAAAAAAAATAAAAATAAAAAATAAAAGTACTTTACAGATCATCTTTGATTATGATCAAATTCAGATGCATCAAAACTGTGACATTATCTCTCAAATTCTGAAAAAAAAGTCTGTGATGTTTCATGTGAAAAATACATAGGCCAATATATATGATTCAAATACCAAAAAATGATTTCTCTGAAATACAGAATTGCATCCCTGAACACACCAAACACAAGGGGTTACCCCCGTGACAGGACAAGGGAGGCTCTCAGTATTTTGTGTTCTTCTGAACGGTCAACTTGTTATAAGCACACACTCCAGTTACAACTTCAAGAAGCTGAACAGGAGTGCTAAGCATTATTATCATGCTGTTAAAATAATGCTATTTTGCATATTAAAAAGTTGTACCTTCCAATCTTCAACCCTTGGAAAACTGAAGAGGATTCTCTGGGCTTGGTACTAGTATACACCTAGTTTGATTTGGGGCTTCACTTTGAACTTTGACACAGATTACGGAAGAATCTGAATTGAAAATTTATTCTTCTCTTTTTGTGTTTTCTCATTGTTGTAGTTCTTTATCTTGATAAAAGTGTTACCTGGAGAGGTATAATAATGGGGGGCAGGGGAAGGCGATGGCTAGGCAGAATTATGAAGACAAAAATCTGCATTAAACACAAAAGACTATTCATAACATGTTTGTTTGGCAGTTTGTTCTAGACCTACCTTTCCATTTTTGTAAGTATGGAAAACAGTTAACAGCAAGGACAGCCAGCATTTATACTTTGTGCTGCAGACTATTCCAAATGCTTCATTCATACTGATTCACTAAAGATTCATTTCAACCCTGTGAAGGAACAAAGACAACCTGTCCTAGTGACGAGAAGGAATTCGAACCCAGAAAACCTGGCTTTGGAGCCCAAATACAAATTCTTTAAACTCAAATACTAGGTTCACATAAGTGATCATTTATATACCAAAATGTATTCTAGATTGTACATGAGCAATATTCTGTAGTGTTCAGGGTGTATAATAAGCTGGAGTATACTTGTACATCAGTTGTCATTGTCATGTTCCTTCATTAGAACTTTAAAGCAAAATACAAATGTGATGGGAATTATAGAAATACTTTAAAGTTGTTCTTGCATGCTCCAAGAGGGAGCTGCCACTATGATCAAATAAGTGCTATAAAAAATATTTATGTTTTGTTCATGAATGTTGTAGGTTTCCTGCATTTTAGCTGATTAATTAGGTGTTCATGTGCAGGGTCAGATCTAAACAGTGATGTCTGGAATGTCAGTGTGACTGGAAATAGACCAAAAAACACTGCAACACAACCAGACAAAACCTCCACCCGAGTCTTGATGCTCTGGGTATCAGGTGGAGTACACCAATGATACAGCTGAATATTTCTGGCAAGAATGTGAAATAGAAACCCTGGTTTGGGGAGGAGGGAGGAAAGCTGACAGGAAAACGCTCTTACAATGGATGATGTGCTATACCATCTGTGTCTGGAGGTATTTAAGAGTCTCATTTTGACTTTAACATCTGACATCATGATTTTTAAAAAGTAGTGGAAACAGACATATTATTAGTTACTTAAGACCTTGCTTTAGTTCACACATCATTTTAATCCCTTTACTCTAACTAAAATGACTCCCTGTATATTCATTAGGCTCTTGATTCCAAAAGGCAAAAATCTGTTATACATCAGCTGTCACTGTCATGTTCATTTTTTCTTCCACAGTTGGCTATCTGTTTCACAGCACAGTTACTAAAAACTAACAGTAATTCAGGTTTGCAGGTGAAACCTTGGAAGATATAAAAATACTCTATTTTGAAAAAACTGTGAAAAAAATAATCTATTTTAGTCTATGTTAACCATTGCCTTTTTGGCTATAGAGGGAAACAAAGAATTTGAAATTTTTGTTAACTTATATTTAAGTCTCTGCTGCATGTTTTCACGTAAAATTAAATTTAATGCACACCAAACCAATCATTTGAAGCATTTTAATTCATTTTATGTGTAGCACTTGGCTAGAGCAGAGAGTGTGCTTTTAATAACTCTGCAAACCTCACACTACTTTTTGCGTGTCAACAAAAGAAACCAGACTGGCACACCAGCAGCACTACCCCAAGGACAACAAAGGCCCCTGTGCTCACTGTAAGCCAGTGATGAACACTGAAAATCTTATGGGATGGATGCCCTTCAAATGACCATTTCACAATGAAGTATGAAGAAGGATGACTTTCCTTCCCTAAGTCACATCGGTTCGTGAGAGGTGAAGAGCCAGGAATGGAACTCAGTGGTAGGATGATAATATGCGCAATGAGAACCACATACAACTGACAAGAGAGCTCATTTTAGTGTGGCTCACAGTCTGTGTCACCAAATCTTCCAGGGTAATTTCTTCATTGTAGACTTCAATTTAAAGAAAAGCAAGAGTGAACAGGAATCCCAATGAACAAGGGAAAATAAGAGAAAGACAAAAAATGTAAGCCTCTATCAAAAGAAACAGTGTTGGAAAGGCCTCCCTTCTCTCAGAGTTCTGGCTCCCTGTCAGGGAGGCCTTCCTGGACCATTCTATCTCCAGCAGTCCCCACCTCTCCACCATCACTCACTGTTTCTCTAAATGGAGTTCTTTTCTTCCTAACATGTATCACTTCCCGACATATTTAAGTATATTTTTATTGCCTGTGCCCCAACTGGAATAATGTAAGCACTATGAGAACAGGACTCCATATCTATACTTAAACAGAGCAGGAATTTAATCATTATTTGCTGAATTAATGAATCTGCATGAATTGACAGAGTCTCTCTCCCCTAAAAGTTTCAGTTAAAAACACTTCATACTGGTATTTTTTTAATTGATTGTATACAGGTAATTGTGGTTGAAAACAGTGCAAGACTTTTTTTTTTCAGGCTGCCCTGTGTAAAACCAGCAAGTAATAACTAAAAGACATCTATCAAACTAGCAGCCTCAGAAGACAGCTCCTAAGCCAGCCAACACTAGTTTGCTTTTCTTCTTCTAGTCTTAGTCCTCAGCCAGTGGAACGAAACTATCAGATAATGAGAATCACCAAAGTTTAGATTCCTGGTTTTTATTCTACCTATTACCATTCTAAAGTTTTCTCCATGGTTCCAAAAATTGGCTCTAGCAGTTAAAAAAAAAAACCCTCCTGGATTTCCACTGTCCCCGCCCTCCCTGACTCCTAGGTCCCTCAGAAGTACCACCTACCTGTGACCTTACCCAAGCTGGTTTTCAGGAAGTCAGGGTGCCTGAGCTCTTCAAGGCTTGCAGACTTCATGACAGAGTTGATTGATGATAAAGTGCTGATGAGCTGGGAGTTGAGGGAGCCAATCTGTGAGTGAGGTTCCCCGAAAGCTTCTGCCAGTTCACTGTAGTTCTCAGCCAGCAGCGCCTGCTGTTCCGCAAGCAGCTTCTGGACACGCTCGATGTAGTGATCCAAGCCTGTCTCCATTCCGGACGGTGCCTGAGGCTGGGGGCTCTCCACGAACTCTCCTACAGGCTCGTCCCCAACACCTACACTCCTCCGGCTGCCTGTCGGCCCCACTGTCAACTGGGGAGGACCACATGCTATGGTCCTCATTTTGAGGCCAACCAGATAGTTGTCGTTAATACTGATCTGCCCCACGCCTGACTCTTTGGTCTTCACAGCTGATGGTCTGTCAAACCCAGCATTGCCAGAGAGCACCGTCCCCACTCCGATGGACCGCATCTTGGTGGAGCTGACGTCCTTGACCCGGCCTTCGCCCACGGCTACTGTCCGCATCTCCACAGTGCGGGTGCTGGTCTGCTTGTCCACGGTGCTTAGGGAAGTGTTGGTACAGGATTCTGTGAGCGTGGCCATCTCAGTGTTGGTGAACTGGCTCACCTGTTCGAGAACTGTGCTGGTGTGCCGGCTCGCAGTTCGAGGCACTGCCATGATGGCAGCTTCCACCTGGCTGACAGCCTCTGTGTTCACGCTTCGGGAGGTGCACTCCTTTGGAGAGCAGATGGTCACATCAACAGAACAATCTCCGCAGCCGATGGAGCGCACTTCTTTGAGATTCAGGTTGGTCCTGAGGAGTGCCAGGTCATTCACGGACTCCTCCGTGTTGCTGCCCGTTTCACAGACACTGATGTCCATACCTACGCTCTTGTCACACATTTCCACCGACAGCCCAATACATCTGTCATGCATTTCCACCCTTTCCTTAACAATCCACCAATTCATGGGCAGCTCAGGCCCCACCTCTTTATTCTCATGATCGGGCTGGCAGGAGATGCCTACATTACTTGTCTGCACACATGTTCCCACACATGTGTCAACCACATCCACGTGACTGCCAGCCATTTGGTCTCTGGTGGGTACCACTGCCTCCACCATCTTGCTGAAAACAAGCGGCTGGGCCATCACAGCTTTATCAACTTTTTTCCTTGAGCCAGCAGCTTGCAGCTCTTGCTTGAGTTTAGTCATCTCCCGGTCATGAGTGGTTTCTTTAAGCTGTACTTCCAGGCGATAGATCTTATCCTTTAAGGCTTCTATAGTCTGTTGTTGCAGCTCAATTTCTTTGTCAGCTTCAGTAGTCACTCCAAGCATGGCTTCTGTCACACTGACCCCAGAATTCCTCGTCTCAGTGACCATGCCTACAGCGGCATCCTTACAGGACCTGGCACCCCTGCGGTACACGACAATGTCGTTCATGTCCTCATCGGCGCCCACAGCCACAGACCGGAACTCTCGAGGCCGACACTCCCCATTCTCCCTGAGCTCTGAGGAGGCCTCATAGCTGCTGTTCTGGATCTTCTGCTCCAGGGCCTGCATGTCTGCTGTGAGCTGCCGGAATTCTTTTATCCTCTGGGTGCTCTGCTCCACGCTCTCCATTTCTTCCTCCTCGTAATCAATGTATAATTCCCCACCACTCCTCCGGGTCCTGGACAGCTGTTCCAGCTGGGATGCATTCCCAGCACTGTAGGACCGCTTTCTCACACCACAGACATCATTCTGGGATGCCGCTCTTTGGTTTTTCAGCTGTGATGCCAACTGTCTTTTCTCCTCTTGCAGGACAGAGATCTTCACCTGGAGCACAGGGATGGTTCGCACCTGCTCTTCTAGCTCCTTCAGGCGCTTCAGGGCAATGGCCATCTGCTCACGGATGTGCTGCAAGTGCATGGGGCTCACGTTGGTCACTGGAGTGGAGATCCCTGAGCTCAGGGGGCTGTGACGGATGGAGCTCCCCATGGAGGAGGTGGTGGCAGCAGCTGGGGCATAGCCACCATAATCCCCATTGCCTTGGTATCCATTCTGAAGCTGGGGCACGGTGGGATTGTGGTTTCCAGAACCCAGAAAGGAGGAGAGGGAGCTGGTAGAGCCCATGCCTCCAAAACTGGCCAGCCTGGGCCTTCGGAACTCACCAGGTGCCATCTGCATGGTGACTCTCTCCTGCTCAAGTCTTCTCCGGGTCTCCATCAGTGTCTTGGTGACATGAAGGTTGTGCTTTGGGAGTTGTGGTGAAGGTGGTGGCAGCTGTCGGCTTTCGGGGATGGTAAGAAAAGTGGGAGAGGTCTCCAGAGGGGCAGGTGGCTTTGGGATTGGGGTTGACGTAACTTGGCTTCGGGCTAGGAGGAATTTGGGGCACTGCCTGTTGTCATCACTGTTGGAGGATGAGAGGGATTCAGTGGAAGTCCACACGCTGTGCTGGCCAGGTGCAGCCCTGGAGTCTGGGCATGGCCCAGATGGCTTCCGCCTCTTCTGGATGTTCACTTTCTTGATGGTGTTTCCTTTCTGTATGTCATCCACATATTTGAGGAAATCTAAGTCTAGCTGATAACCATAGGGGGTCTCCACAAAATAAGGATCTTTTTGTTCCCTGTCTTGTTCTCCATTCAGAATATCATCTGTTTTTCCTAAGAGAGAGAGAGAGAGAGAGAGAGAGAGGAGATTATAATAATGCCATTAACACACACAAGGAAAAAAACTAGTATTTGTGTATGTTGTAGCACGGTAAGCAAATATGATTTAAGAGCTGACAAATCTATGTTCTAATCCTGAATCTACAACTTAACAAATGGGTGTTAACAAACCTCTCAGAACTTCAGTTCACCTCTGAGTACAAATGGAAATACAAGTATTTAAATCATAAGGCTGTTAAAAGAATGTAATGAGAAAATGATTTTTAAGAGCCAGGAACATAGTAAGTCCTTACCAAGTACTTGAGTTTTTTAAAGAATCATTGAAGACTTGAAAGCATTTTCAAGTAGATAATTTCATTTTCTGTCTACAATCCCTTGAAGTATAGCAGTCATTAAGACTACTATTTTATAAAGTGCACTCTGAGGCAGAAAAAGTGAGAAGTCTTAAAATAACAGACCAAGTCGGTGGACAGCCAGGAAGCCTGGACATGAGTTCGCCCACCTACTGCTCTTTTGGAATATATAAACAGTGGCTGAGGTACCCCAGTGCCTGACCACCCCTACAAGATCACAATTTGCCTAGACACCTTCCTTGCAGAGAACGCTGGGGCACATGGGACATTGAGTGACTAACTCCAGCAGCAAGGGGGCAAGGACAGTTTGTGGATAGACTACAACTATATTTTGTGGCTTCCTATTTAAAAACAAAACAAATTCCATCCCAACAGAGGAGAAGTTGTTTTTGTTTTTGTCCCCCCCCCCCCCCACCCGACTTCTTCTGGACAAAACATCCACTGTTTCAAGAATACCTTGTTTTCTATTTGTGATGGCTCCCAACAGACGCAAAGGGAGAATGAAAATAAGGGCAAACACTCCAAACACTGCACCATGCGGCATTCGATAAATGCTACTTCTGGCTGAACCAAATGTTCAGAAAAGGAAATATGAAACTTTCAAGGCACAGATCTTGCTGCTGACCTGAGCTATGCATTTCAAACTGAAAACCAAGGTTGCTTTTGTTTACATTGTAGGATTAAGCAACGTGTTTTCCTAGAGTCATGAAAACAAGATCTGCATCTGAGTGTTATGGGAAGGATCCCGAAGCAGTGACTGAAAAGCCATCAGTACCCCTACCTCTAGTGTTAGTTGCTCAGTGCTGTCCGACTGTTTGTGACCCCATGGACTGTAGCCCACCAAGCTCCTTTGTCCATGGGATTCTCCAGGCAAGAATGCTGGAGTGGGAAGCCATTCCCTTCTCCAGGGGATCTTCCTGACCCAGGGATCCAAGCCTGATCTCCTGCATCACTGGCAGACTCTTTACCTTCTGAGCCAGAAGGGGAGCCCTATGGCTACTCCTCGCCTGGGCATAAAAGCCCCCCTGACCGCGTCAAGGCCCAGGTACTTGCAGCAGTCTGGACTGCTGGTCTGTGCTTCCCACACTCAACAGCGCCACATGTGACACCCCACAGTGTGAATGCTTTTGCCTCCATCTGCCCGCTTCTCTCTAAAATGTTGGAAAGAAAAGTACAAACAAGAAAACTGCCAGAGGAATAAAAAGTACCCTTCGTATCGTCATTTAAAACGCCATTAAGTTGTTTTAGCTGTTAAAATTTGTGAATAAGATTTCAATTCTAAGGCACGTGGATAAAGAATTCTATTGGAAAGAGGTGCTCAGCAGCAAACATTTTCTGATCTAAGGAAAGGTACGCTGACGAGGAGCGAGGCGCCGGAAAACTTGTGCTCCAGCTAAGAGAGTGTATCTTCTTTCTTTCCTTTTTAACTCCACAAGGACAACATGCTCACTCAAAGTATGCAGCCAGACCTGTTTCCAGTGCTGTCTGAAACTCCATAAGCAAAGAAAAACTGCAGGCTTGGGACAGGTAGATTCTAAGCTGGGCTGGCCCAGACCTTTGAGGCCAGCCCTCCCCCCTGCCGCCCGCCCCGGCCGCTGCCGGGGGACTGAGCCCCGCGGGGAGCCCCTGCCGCCCTCCCGCCTGCCGGCCGCACACCTACCGGGCGCCCGCTGCGCTCTCGCCGGCTGGCCTGCCGCACTCCAGCTCGCGGGCCCAGGCTCTCCACCCTTGGGGAAGGAGGGTGGACACCGGGAGACTGGGCAGCGGGCCGGGCGCACACGCCATAGGCCGGGGCCGCACCAATGAGGTCTCAGCGGCCCGGCGACCCCACCCCCGCACACTGAGCCGCTCGTCCCGCGTCCGCACTGCAAGCAGGAAGCCCGGAGCTTTCTAGAACGTGTGTTCTTCTTGCCAGTTCTGCCAAGAGTCAAAATAAAGCCGGCAGTTGAAACGTCTCACAGAAGAGACTCTGTCTCAGTCGCACCGGTCCCTTCCTCGTGAAAGAGTGTGTGTTCTGCTGTGGCAACTAGCGGCCTCGGCTCTGGGCCACCTGAGCAAGTCGGGGCACAAAGGGCCCCACTGTTCACGGCGGGGTCTCAGCGCCGCCCCCCGCGCGCACGGGTCCCCAGCCCGGCTCTGCACACCAGAGTTATCCCTGAACAGTGATCTCCGCTGGGCCTTTGCCACGACTGAACGTTTCTTAAAAAAAAACTTTTTGAAAACTACCTTGCTTAAAAAAAAACCCACCAAAACCTATGCTGTACACACATATATAAATACAGTACACTAGTAAAATATTGTAAAGCAACTATACTTCAATTTTAATAAGAACACGAAAAGGAATTTTTAAAAATCTTATTATGCACAAACCATTTAAAGAAAAAGTCACTCATATCTCACCACCTAGTGGCAATTGTTAGTATTTTGGTATAGCTCTTGTTTTTCTGTGTATGTCTTAACATAGCTAATTTTCCCACTTAAGCGTTTTCCTTAGAAAGCTTAATTTTTTTTTATTACTCTTCAAAACTTTTAAAATGCATTAACGTCAAGGTTTAGAAAACAAAGCATGTCACACTTTCCAGAGAAATTCAACCGACTTATCTTTAGTTATTTCTGAAGTTCAGGAAAGGTACAGGTCATGCTGAATTATCCCCAGATGAACTTTGGACTTCTAAATCTGGGAACCAAGGGAGGTTAGAATTTAACCGTGTTGAGCTTGATTATTTCCTAATAGTGTTCGATTCAGATTCTCCTGAGGACTTATAATCCAAGTTTCATTCTCTAACAACTAAAAAGGAACGTGTATTTCTCAAGGTGTCATTTTTCCAAACAATTCTTCATAGTACAGATTATTCTACTGTTAAGTAAAGATACCTAATGTCGTGATTATCTTATTTCCTGCTTTCTAATGTGCCTTTACATACATTAACACAAACAGAACACTTACAGTGCCCTGTCCTCCGCCTTTTTTTGTGTTTGTCTTTTCTCTCTGTACTAGAGTGAGAGCAACAAATTTAACTTTTAAAAGCTCCTCCCTTGCTCTCCCTTCCAACCACACACATGAATTAACAAGATGCTATGAATAAAGATGTTTTATAATGTTTACTGAAGTAATAACTGAGTATACAGTATAACAAAGATCTCTGAAAAACATGTAAATACTCTGTAGTCTGAAGTTGCTTGTTCTATATTACTGTTAAGGACATTTCTTATATGATGCTGTTTCAGTATTTATCTTTAGGTTCTGGAATCATGGGTGATTTTAATGTTTTTTTAATGGTTTAAAAAAATTTGTACAGCATATAGGTATTCATCTTTTAAAAATATGATTACAAGTCACTGTTTTGAATATTGAAATAATACATTGAAATGTATTGGAATGTATTGAAATAAACTCCAAGATCCCTCATATGACAGAGGAATGTATGGGGCAGTCATAGCAAAGATAACTAAATGTTCCTCAGTATGTGCTACCTCACCCTTTCACATGAATTGGACTCCGTTTTAATTGGGCAAATATAAACACAGTATTTCCCCAGCTTCTTTCGCTGTTAGTATGTCCATAAGCAGATATGTCATGCAACAATCCCCAGAAGCCTCCCTTATAAGACACAGGACTAGTTCTTTGACATCCTTTCTCTTTGTTTCTTCTTCTGTCCTGCTGTCTGGAATGCAGATGTAATGACTGGAACAGTAGCTGCTATTTTGGACTTGAGATCACTGAGGGATGAAGGAACAAGGTGCTTGATGGAACCTGGGTCTATAAGAGCTTTGTGGATCAAAGCACTATACTACTCCTGGAAAACTTACCTCTTTCTACACATTTATGTGAATTTATATTTAATTTTGTTTAGTTATTGTTTGCTTGGAGTTCTTGTTACTGAGAGCTAAACTGAACTCTAATGGATACAGTACTCTTTGCCCAGTGTTGTCTTCTCCCCCTCACAAAAAAAAGAAAAAAGAAAATTAGGACCAGATCTTGAAAAATATTTAATAATAAACTGGGGAGATACTACATTAAAACATTTTCATCACAAAAAAATTGATAAATTCAAGAATAATTAAGGAAGTGTAAAAACAACAGTGAAAAAAAGTCTCTAAATGGGTTATTAAGGAGATTTGTTAACTGCCTAAAAAGCCCTTTTGGACTAACAGAGCTTATATGAAGCCAGAAACCACTGGCTGTTATCTGCAACTGGAATCCGGAAAGTAACAGCTTCCAGTTAAACAGTCTGGAATCAGAGGGGTGTCCCTGGTGTTTACAAGAATTTTCTGAATGTCTGGAAATCCAGAGGTAGAGACTGCTCCTGGCACCACCTCTACCTTCATTATATAGCATTTATTGAAAGCTCAATTGGGTGCAGAAAATGGTCCTATTCAGTGGAAAGAGTAGGAGGAAGGATTTATAAGAAATAAAAGGAGGTACAGTCATAGATGTGAGATAAATGCCAAACATCTGAAACATAACACTAAGTTAGGTCAATTACAAAAGTATATTATCAACAAGAACAATCTGATGATATATGAAAAAATGATCAATACTAGAGTTAGCCAGGAGATGAGTTCTGAAGACAAGGTAAGTGATGACAGAGTAAAGTGGAAAGAGGGGTTGATGAGCCAGGTAAGAGCCTAGTAGTGCAA